TAGAGAAAAATTCTATGAAAAGATATATATTCCATGACAAATATAATTTTTATTTCAATACACAAAGATCATACATAAGACTAGATATAAATATCAGTGATTGAGTTATTTGCTAACAAGTGCTTCTGTTGCACATAGTACAGTTGCTTCTTGAAATTTGAAATATTTCATAGTACAAGATTAATACCAAGACTGCTGAAAGTTGTCTTAAAATTAATTTTAAAGCAAAATAGAAAATTCAAAAGTATTTAAAAAAAGGAGTTCTCTTCAAGAAACATCATAATCAGGGTGTAATATGCCTTTCTCTTGTTTCTACCTTTGCTATAAAAATGCAATTTTAATACCTTAACAATTTTGAAAACCTTTAACAAATCTTACATTTTAAGGTAGTAAAGAATTATGCCTAACTATAAAATCTCCAAAATGCACATAGAAAGCTTTCCAGTAAACAAATGCAGTTTTCAGAATGTCCTTGTTATCAGTTTTGCATTCCAATTTCTCTTAAGGGTACGTAAGCAGCCTGACACCCACATGCCATTTTAATAAGGTCATTTATAGAATCTCTATGATATATCTTTAAGATTCTATAGACTATACATTTCCATGCTCTTTAGCTAAGCAATATAAGAGTTATGGTTTTGAGAAAAACTCAGTTATCTATTATAGAAAAGGTCTGAAAATAACTAGTTATGGCTATCTCTGAGGTTGTGATTTTATGGGGAATTATTTTCATTTATTTATCGGGGGGGTGTGTGTGGGTTTTAATGAGACTGGATCTTGCTATATTGACCAGGCTGGTCTCGAACTCCTGGCCTCAAAACACCCACCTGGCTGGGCCTCCCACAGTGCTGGGATTACAGGTGTCAGCCATCTAGCCTGGCCTCCCATTTATACTTTAAAATTTTTCAATAATAAACATGACAGATTTGGTAATAAAAATACACTACTCTTTAATGCAAAAATAATACCTTGTTACTTAGTAAATTTCCTTTTAGCACTTTACCAGCAATTCCTCCTCCCCCTCCCAAAAAATGTAAAATGTACACACAGTTATAGATACAAAAATATTCACTGCAAATTATTTGCTATAAACAAAAACTGAAAACTACGTAATATTCATTAATAAGGGAATTGCTAGGTAAAATAATATTCAACCACAAGGTAGAATACCATGCAGCTAACAAAAATGTTTTCATAAAGTTATATATAATAAGCAAATGCTTAGGTTATAATATAAAGTAGAAAAAAGAACATAATGTATATATATGTACCATGTGCTCTCATACGGAAAAAATGCATTTAAATAAAAAGACTAGTGTCATAATATTAAAGATGGGTTATTCCCATTGGTGGAGGAATTATATGTACACTTTTTTGTTTATTATAGTCTTATTTTTTTATATTATAGTAAGATACTACTTCTTTATTTATGTTTCTTTCTTTCGTCCTGAACAAGAAAGGAACTATTTCTTAAATAGAATACAAAAAAATTTAAGTGTACAATTGGCTTTTCTAGAATTTTACTTAAGAGACAAAAAACTAGCTATACCATTAACTAGAAGGAAAAAGTTACTTCCTAGTATTGTATAGTATTGATAAAATAAACTGCTCAAGGACACTCGCAGAACAGCAAACAAGTAGCCACTACTGCCTGCAAGTTTAACAGCTACATGCTATTAATCTTTTCCCATTATGCTAATTTTATAAAATTAGCATCTGTAATTCATAAATAACAAACTAATACTACAAAGCTTTTACAAAGTGTATTAGGAAGCTGAATTCTACCACCACCTGTCTTCCCTTTTGTGTGCAAAATTCACATAGAGAACTAACACAATACCACTTCAGATGATGATGTAATTATATTTCATAAACAATGTTAAACTATTTGATAGATTTCACCAAAATGAAGATCTCTTTTGTCTACTATTTTTTTTTCTAAAAGAGAAACAGACTTGAATCTCCCAAATTCTGTAGATACATATCATTTGTGAGTGATATAGAACAAGAGACAGAGAAGAGCCAATTAAAAATAAGAGTCCATATGTTCATTACATAGATGTTTAAGCCCTAAGATTTGCCTCAGGATCTAACTTGGGGAAAAAAAGTGTCTAAGTTTTAAAACACAAACTTGTATCAATGTTAAAGCATAGTATATGAAGAAACTTTTATCAGTATTAAGTATAATTGTGATATTTTGCTGATATTATTTTTATACCATATTCATTGTTCTCACTATAACTACTGTAGTTGCTGAACAGCAACGAGAACTGAATCTAAAACAAAAATTTTCACGAGCCGGCTTACAGTTTTTAAGGTAGTTTTTTTATTAAAAACACACATTTATCCAGCGAATGAATAAGGTTAAATAAAGGCTGTAAAAAACACCTCATTAACAATGGAATTGTTACTCCAGTGGAATACTTTTAAGAAACAACAGGGTCTGCAAGGCGGCTCACGCCTGTAATCCCAACATTTTGGAAAGCTGAGGCAGGCAGATCACTTGAGGTCAGGAGTTCGAAAGGAGCCTGGCCAACGTGGTGAAACCCCGTCTCTACCAAAAACACACACAAAAAATTAGCCAGGTGTGGTGATGCGCACTTGTAATCCCAGCTACTTGGGAGGCTGAGGCAGGAGAATCACTTGAACCAGGGAGGCAGAGGTTGCAGTGAGGGGAGATCACACCATTGCACTCCAGTCTGGGCAACAAGAGCGAGACTCCGTCTTAAAAAAAAAAATTCAGAGCAACTTTACAACCTAGAGATCTACAGAACTTTTCCGTTCAGCGATTGCTTTGACATTTTACTTATCCCTCTCTACCTTAGTATCTCCAATCATACCCACCAAATTACAGATACACTCACCCAAGTCAAATTCACACTATTTCTTTTTATATGTTAAGAACTTCTTTAGAAAAGCACAAGGGAAATGGGTTCTGTGGACTAAACAGTTAGTCAATTCACACAGATACTACACACACGATTTAGGATCTAAGTCCTCTTTCACGCTCTGACCAGTGCTTTCAATTACAAATGAATGCACTGATCTCACTCAGATAACCAAACCACGATATTACTTCATAGTGCCCCCTAGCTCTTTAAGATATATCAGTTTAAAAGGGACACCATTTGAATTGTCAATCTCAAGAGAAAGCGTCAGTCATTCTACTTATGCAGCTCTTAAATAGATACTGTATTAACTAAATTTGACTTGATAAATAATAGATAACTTAATTAAATCTTGCTACTAATCCCAGTAAAAGTCGATGAGAAAAAAATATTGTGAACTGATGGATTTGGAATTCAACCACACAATATACTACAGTTCAAAAGTTTTGTAGGATCTCTCTATAACTCACAATTTGTTTGCTTTCTGAAAGATATTAAGCAAGGGCTCATAAAATGTGCATTTAAAATGCCTTCTTTTATGTAACTTAAAGGGAAATGCCATGGCATTAGGCCATGGCTCTGCAGAGGAATGGAACCCATTTCTTCATTTTAAAAAACACTGGGATCAGATTAAACTATGATAAGATTTATCAATATCACTATAGTCAAGTTACCATTATCATTACAAAGAATCTAAATTGCTAACAGGTAAATCTGTGAGAAGAAAATATCTGACCTTGGTCCTGATTCTAAAAGATAAGTCAGATTTGGACTGCTTCAGGATCAGCAGAGGAAGACAAAAAGTAAAGAAGACAGAATGACATATACCCCTTCCTTCTGGAAATGGCATTAAGCAAGACTTCTGAGTACAACTACAACTATAAAAATTACTCAGGTTTGCAAGTGCCCTTCGCCTTATATAAGTCATTCTGAAAAAAAGTCCTACTTTACTCTACATTCAAACTCTAGTACATTCAACCTAATAAGGGAAAGAGCAGAATAGGACCAAAACTGGGGTGGAAAAAAAAAACAAAACAGGAAAAGGATGAAACTCCAGGAGGAACTACAATAAGGCAGAGTAGAGTACGTCAAAACGACTAGGTTTATTCTAAAGAATGGTTTTGTTTCCACTGTTCTTCTAAGGTATTTAATTTGCACGTCTTAAAATAGAGACCCTGAGGAGAGCAGCTTGAGGCAGTGGAAGGAAGGGGGGCGGGTTAGGTAAGAACAGAGACTTGTGAGAGAATATGTGCGGTGCATTAGAATGTGCAATGAAGAGAGTGCAGGATTCACCGTCAGGAAGCAGCTGAGGGCTTTATGAGTAGAGGCAGCATCTGATGTGGTTTAAAGAATGCGTATTACAGCCAGAATGCACACCTGGTACAGGGACAACCCTAGACAGGAAAAATCAACCCACTTTCTGTGCAAGTGCAGAGATGACCATTTTAACCAGTTCTATTGTCTGGAGCATTAAATGGAAATGCCCCAGGCAAGAGATCAAGCTAGCCAGACACCAAATCAGAGACACCGTGGGGCAAAAGGAAGGAGAGAAGATGGACAGTGGCCGCGCGGACATTCCCAGCCACGGGGCCCTTCCTCGCCAGGCAGGGGAGGGGCGCCGGGGTCACGGGGGCCGCACGATCCCCCATCCGCGGAGCCCAAGCACAGGCGGTCCCCTCCTCGGGCCGGCGACGTCTCTCACGGCGCAGCCTGGGAACACCGAGACTTCCCCTCCCACCCCACCCCCAGCCGAAAGCAGGGAAGACGCGGAACTTGGGCTCCGGAGCGGAGGCCACAGACCAGGTCACGGCCCGACTGGGGGCTCTGGGCGAAATTCCGGGTGGCCACCGCGGGCGGCGTAGGGAAAATCAAAGCCCTGGCTGATCGCGCTTCCAGTGGAGACACTGGGGTCCGGGTGCCCGGGCCCAATCCCTTCGCTGCTCACCGACCCCCTGCACCTCCTGGGTCCTCACAGTCCCAGGCCCACTCGCCTCCGTCAGTGGCGCGGCCTCTCGGGTCTCCCCGGTCCCACCACTGCGGCCGCCCCTCTCTGTAAGCAGCTCCTCTCCCGAACCCTCGCCTCCGACGCTCCCGCCGAGCCCCGGGCCGCACCTCCGTCTTGGTGATCCGGTGCCGCGCCAGCTTCACCACAGCGAAGTTGCCCTTGCCCAGCGTGCCCTCGATGTCGTAGAACCCCACCCGGACCGGCCCGCGCTGCAAGTGCCTCGGGCCATCCGCCATGACCATGCTGGGCCCCGCTGCTAGACACGGCGGACAGGAGCGCGGGCGGGCGGGCGGGAGGGCTGGCAGCGCTTCTCGGCTGGGGCGACGGCCGCTCCGCTTGCTCCTTCGCTCCTTCCCTCCCGCTCCGCAGGGCCCAGCCAGGCGCGCGCCGCCGCTGACGTGCGCCGACGTCAGGGGGCCGGGGAAGGGGGACGGGGGCGGGCCCGGGCCTGGATTGGTCACCATGGCGACCAGAGCACCGCCGTTGTCGGCGACGGGAGGGGGAGAGTGGGGGGAGGCGCGCGGGGAGGGGCGCGGGCCGGACCGGCGCACTCCTTCCGGGCTCAGACGCCCTCCTCTCGCCTCTCCGCCTCGCCGCTGCCAGGGGCGGGGTCGCCGCCCGGCCCGCTCCATTCCTCGGCCTTCCAGGCGAAGGGCAAGAGCGAGCCCTGGCGGACCGTGCAGAGCGGTGCAGAGACCTGGATGCGGCCTGAGGTCTCCTTCCCCATCCCGGCGTTCTCTGCCCACCCGGGGACCTTCCCGCCAAAACCTCTCACCTACAAGGACAGCCAGCCCTAAATTTGGCACCGGCAAAGAACTGTGGCTGAGCAATGCGTTGCTCACAGGCTGTTTCCTTTGTATCCTTTTCTCATCTCGCTTCTATCTATAATAAACCCCTCCACGCTTTGATGTCTCCTAGGAGTCATTCTGACAGCAGTACGGTCGCTTATAGACTCACTATATATGTCAGCGCTGAAGAGACCTTGGAGATCACTCAATCCAGAGATTTGGAGCCTCAAATGAGCTTCCAAGTCTGGAACTCCCTACAGCACAGGCCAGTTTTTGCTTATGTGAGCATGTCTCTGCAGAGATGGACTCGTAGCTTCTATCAGATTCCCAAACGTGTTGGTGACCCTGAAAAGGTTAAGAAATATTTCTGTAATCCAATTTTTTTTTTCTCCAGAGGACGAAGCAGACCGCAAGGAATAAAGGGAATTGCCAAGGTCACACAGCGAATGCTAGAGGCAGAATTATAAATCACACCACGCTTCCAAATATGACCCAAGGAAACAGGGACAGTGACACTTTAATATTTTGAAATATATTATGTGCCTTCATATCTTGGTTTCTAAATACCATTCTTCACATAAAGGAGTCAGACTCCGTGGCGAGAAGGCTGATTCGAGGGCAGAGACAGGGAAAATACAAAATGCCCTTGAAAGACCCTGTGCCTTAAAGCAGGGAGGTTTCTTTGCTATGTCGAGGAAGAGATGTCAAAAGAAAGGAGATGTCTTGAAGGTGCCCACCCTTACCAAATCTGAGACAATTTGAGAACCAAGAATAAATAATGATAGAAATGGATTCTAACACATTGAATTTTTTAAAAGAATCCATAGAACCTATTTGCTTTTAAACTTTCAAATAAGTAAATAAAGGGGGGAGAAGTGAAATGACGGTGGAATGCCAACTAATATATGTTAGAAGAAATGACAGCAAATCGTTTGGCAACCATTACAGTAATAATGGAATCAGACATGAATTATCGATAGGTGTTAAAATCATTGAGTGAAATTTGGCTGGGGAACAAGATATTTGCATGGTCTTTGGATTTCTTATTCATGATAAAGGGTTAACAAAGGTACCTTTACAGGGGAAAAATCTGACACCATTCTAACCAAATGATCAAAATTAATGTCACCAATTATGTGATAAAATGATGTGAGGCACTGAGGTTACAATATCTCTTATGTAGTATTCCTGTCAAAAATGCATATTATGATCTAGAACCAATCAGAAAGATGCAAACTGAGAAACATTCTACCCAACAACTGACCTGTATCCTTAAAAAACATCAATGTTTTTAATCCCAGCACTTTGGGAGGCTGAGGTGGGCAGATCACCTGAAGTCAGGAGTTTGAGACCAGCTTGGCCAACATAACAAAACCCTGTCTTTACAAAAAAAAAAAATCAATGTCATGAAAACCAAAGAGAGGCTGAGGAACCATTCTAGATTTAAGGGATTTAAAAAGGCATGCCACTAAAGGCAACCTGTGACCTCGGAAGAACCTGCTGTAAAGGACCATTTCAGAGCTATTACTGAAATCTGAATGTGGATTACATATTAGATATTGTTTCAGTGTTAAACTTCCTGAATTTTATAATTGTACTGTGATTATAAAAGAGAGTATCTCTTATTAAGAGATCCACACTAAACTAGTTAGGTATAAAATTGCAGGCTGGGCGTGGTGGCTCACACCTGCCAACACTTTGGCAGGCCAAGGTGGGCGTATCACTTGAGGTCAGGAGTTCAGGACCAGCCTGGCCAACGTGGTGAAACTCCATCTCTACTAAAAATACAAAGATTAGTCGGGTGTGGTGGCGCTCGCCTGTAATCCTAGCTACTCTGGAGGCTGAGGTGGGAGAATCAGTTGAACCTGGGAGGTGGTGGTTGCAGTGAGCGGAGATGGCGCCACTGCCCTCTAACTTGGGTGACAGAGTGAGACTCTGTCTGAAAAAAAACTTTTGATATATGCAACTTTCTCTCAAATGGTTCAGCACAGATAGATAAGGCAAATGCGACAAAATGTTAAATTGATAAATGTAGGTAAAAGGGTAAATGGTAGATTGTTGTACTGTTCTTATGACTTTTCTGTAGTTTTAATTTTTTAATGAAAATTAATATATTGTGTATTTAATTTAAAATATATATAATAATTATGTAATATATAATATAATAAATATACATAATAAATGTGTAAAATATATTTATTATAGATAATATATATCTTTTTAAAATACACTCTATAAATATATATATTTAGTGCAAGATGGCTTTTGGGCCCTCCCCTGCTCACTGTGCTTCTGCTCTTCCCTCTCCCCAAGCAATACCTTATTCTACTATGAGGTATGTTGTTTGCAAAAGTGAGGGGAGAATGGGGGAAGACTGTAAGACTGATCAGATTTCTGGATTGATGAGAGTGAATGGTATATGAGTGGTCCTCTAACTAGGTGACAGGTACTCTAATTAAGCCAGGAACCTACATATGTATACCAGTTCAAAAATAGTTCCCAGTGCATTTTGCCACTTAGATGATTTATATTTTGGGGGTGGGTTCCTTTGGGAATCCGATGAAAAGCCACTTATTCAAGATTCAGAAAATACACATGGAGACCCACTGGAGTGAACAACCTCATCCTTTAGAGTATATCTGTTGGACAGAAATGGACTCATTTGAGTATTTAAATTAGATAACCAGGCCAAACACCTGCTTGCACAGTCTGGTAATAAGAATTGATTCGGGACTGGAAGGAAGAAAAGGGATGACAGAGAGCACCAAAAGGTTTTGGAAAGCCAGAGTCCGATATGACCATTCCGGGTGTCTACACGTTAGAGAACAGGAGGCCAGAAAGAAGGAAGAGACAGAAGGGGCTATGCCAAAAATCAGCCTTACTCATGTGGAAATGCAGTGGGTGTGCTACTCAGCATTACTGGTAGGCTGTAAATGAAACCCTGAAGAAATACATATATGTGGACTGATTTAGAATACTGCAATCTTGGATTCTGTGATTCAACTCTGTTTCCTTAATCCAAAAGATCTACTTCTCCCTGTCCAATTTCAACCCTGTATGTCTCCTATGTACTTTTCTTTCCAATTAAATGATAGCTGTATACATTTTATCAATTATTATTATCCAACTCCTGCTTTCCTTTTCTCTTCCTCTATTCATCTTTCTCCTCTTTCTCTTTCCTTACACACACACACACACACACACACACACACCCATCTGCAGGAAAAAAGAATAAAAGATAAGAGGGAGAAGGAGAAGAAGGAGAGCTTCATACAATCCCCATCTTTCTTTTTCATCTCTGGTTTTAGTACCAATGAGATAAAGTGCTCTTGTCACCAAATACCTATTTGCCTGATCTTTCAGATGCAGCATTCCCAGCTGATGCTGTGAGTCTATGATATTTAGCATTGAGTTTGTTAAAAAATGTTAACATAACACTTCAAAAGGTAAAAAGGTGTACACAGGGAAAGAATTAAGTAAGATGGCGAGAGACTAAGAATTAATTCTATAACATTTAGAATAAAGTGGAATTATAAATAAAAATGTGGAATGAGGAGAGGAGTTAGCAAAGAGGTCATGAAAAAGTGATCTGAAATGTGAGAAAAGAAGACTTTGAGACTCACAATGCTGTCTATTATTTCGCTGAAGCAGACAGCCTGTGAACCAGAAAAAAAAGATATGTACTATTTATCTCCTTCATCATGAACAATGTCTGCATTTTTACTGTTTTATCATTTCCCGACTGAAGCAAAGTCAATATAATAATAGGCTTAGGCCTGGATTTAGCTTTAGTTCAAATAAAAAACTGATGAAATCTTTGTTAGACGACTTTGCTTAGAAAAAAGAATACAATGCTAGAATTAATACTTTGCCTCTTATATTAACAAAGACAGAAAGTACACGAGAAAATCCAAAACACTGACCTGTGCTCATTCCAAGGGCTTCTGATAAGTGTCAAGTACAGCTATTCACGAAACAAACATCAGTCAGTCAGGTGAATGAGCATGGGGATGCTCTTACATGTAAGGTACTATTACGGAAATAAACTAAGGATTGAGCTTATTTAAAGAAAACTTTATTTAGCACTTTTATTTTTAAAATAGCTTTATTGAGGTGTGCTTAACATATAATGAGCTACACATATTTAACGTATACAATTTGATGAGCTTGAACATATGCATATATCCATGAAACCATCGCTATAATCAAAGTAGTAAATATATCCATCATCTCCAAAAGCTCCCTGCTTTGCCCATGTGTGTGTGTCAGGGGCAGGGGCCTGGGCGGGGGTTGGTAAGAACACTTGAGATCTACTCTCTTAAATTTTTTCGTGTACAATACAATATTATTAACAATAGGCTCTATATTGTTCAGATCTCTAGAACTTATTCATCTTGCATTACTGAAGCTTTATACCCATTAAACAACTTGCTATTTCTCCCTTCTCCCCCAGCCCCAGGCAACCACCATTCTATTCTGTTTCTATTAGTTTGACTATTTTAGGTAGCTCATATGAGTGGGGTCATGCAGAATTTGTCCTTGTGACTGTCTTATTTTACTTAGCATAATGTCTTTCAGGTCCATCCATGTTGTTACATATGGTAGGATTTCCTTCCTTTTTAAGGCTGAATAATATTCTGTTGTGTGTGTATGTGGGTGCATGTGTGTGTGTGTATATATATATTTCTTTTCATTCATTTATTGATAGACATTTAGGTTGTTTCTATATGTCGGTTATTGTGAATAAGGCTGCAATGAACATGGGAGTGCAGATATCTCTTCAAGATCCTGATTTCAATTCCTTTGGATAAATACCCAGAAGTGGGATTGATGGATCATATGGTAGTTCTATTTTTAATTTTTTGAGGAACCTCCATACTGATTTCCATAATGCTGTACTGATTTACATTCCTACCAACAGTATACAAGCATTCTGATTGCTCTGCATTCTTGCCAACGCTCATTATCTTTTTTTTTAATAATAGCCACACTAACAGGTGTGAGATGCTGTCTCATTTTGGTTTTGATTTGCATTTCCTTGGTGATTAGTGATGTTGAGCACTTTTTCATATACCTAGTGGCCAATTGTGTATCTGCTTTAAGAACTATCTAGTCAAGTCCTTTGCTTGTTTTAAAATCAGGTTTTTGTTTTTTTTTTAATTGAGTTGTAGGAGTTCCTTATACATTTTGGATATTAAACTCTTATCACATATATGGCTTGCAATTCCTTTTCTCTAACTCCATAGTTGCTTTTGCATGGTGTTGATTGTTTCCTTTGCTGTGCAGAAGCTTTTTAGTTTAATGTAGTCCCACTTGTCTATTTTTGCTTTCGTTGCCTGTGCTTTTGATGCCATATCCAAGAAATCATTGCCAAGACCAATATCAAGAAAATATTCCCCTACATTTTTTTCTAGGAGTTTTATAATTTAAAGTTTTACATTGAAGTCT